GCCGTGGGGTGGGCCCAGCTGTGCTGTGCTGTGCTTTGCTGCACTCCAGAGGGGTAGGGAGTAGCTTCGTCCCCACTTCCAGCCATCCTCACTTTGGAAGGGCACTTGCTGAGCCATGCCTGCTCTGGTCTTAGGCTCGGCGAGTGACAGTGAACCACAAGCACGGTGTCTTGTGAGACTGATGTTTGAAAATTCACCACACTTCCTGCTCCTGGGGACTGGTGGCTTCTTTCGCCAATTATGTTCTAGCATGCTGCACTTCATCCCAGGACCTCTAAGCATTTTATAAACACTGCACTAAATCCAGGATCTTAATAAATGGGGTGAAAGGTACACTCCTGAGCAATGTTTCCTCTTATTTTTTTCAATCCATGTGCAGAATACATTTTGTTATGTGCACTGAGGCATGTGTGGATGTGCACCACCAGTAGAAACACATGCTGCCAGCTCTGGGCTGGTTCTCTGCTAATCTGTGGGCGGCTTTTGAATCTCTCCTGGGTAGTTGCCCAAATCTTCAGCTTCCAGAGAACCCTGCTCCCGACCAAAGTCCAAAATCTAATCATCTAAATCAGTGGTCCCCAACCTTTTGGGGCTGCTGGGCGCCCGGTGGTGGGGCCACTCACGCGCCGGGCACCCGGGAGTGGGGCTGCACATGCGCCTGGGGGCAAGGCCACGCACACGCCGCATGCCTGGAGCCAGCGCCACCCATGCACCGCACTCCCGGGACCGGCGCCACTCCTGTGCCGCACGCCCAGGGGTGGAGCTGCTCATACGCCATGCGCCCGGGGCTGGCGCCGCTCCTGTGCCTCGTGGCCAGGGGTGGGGACGCCCATACGCCACGCTCCCGGAGCTGGCACAGCCCATGCACCGTGCGCCTGGGGGCGGGGCTGCCCATGTGCTGCATGCCCAGGGCTGGCGCCACCCCTGTGCTGCACGCCCGGGGGCGGAGCCAGCCCCGATCAGTCGGCAGGTGCACAGAAATGGCCCAGTGGGCGCCAAGGCGCCCATGAGCACAGTGTTGAGAACCACTGAAAATCAATGGCCTGATGTTCATAAGCGCTGAGTTCCCATGGACTGCAGGGGGAGCTGCTGAGCATGCAGAACCTTTGAAAATCAGGTCATTTACCCAGTGCCTAAAAGGGGCTTAGAGCCTAACGTGAAAGCTCTTTTTCTGATAGCTTGGTCACACAGTCAGCAGCAGCAAAGGCAGGAGGAGAACCCAGGAGTGCTGCTGCCTAGACAGCTGACATGACCAGAAAAGCATACCCCATGTGGGCATGGCCCACCTAACCAACCCCCCACCATTCCATTGGGAGTACCTTGCTCGCTTTGCCTCTCTAGCTGGGCATGCAACAGTTCATTCTGCTGAGGACTGACATGCTTTAGTTTAACCCACGTTTTTGGGTTTCCCCAGGGTAACTAGTGCAATATAAGCTCCTGAGGAGGGCAGACAAGATCCTCTAAAATGGGCGCATCTACCTTGCACGCTCCGTATGGGGGCATGTGAGGTATACACCCAGCAGCCCTGCCAGCATAGATATCAAGAGCGATGCAGAAGTGAGGCGCAGCTTAGGAGAGCTGAGCAATGTTCCCTCTAATGTTTCCCATCCATTTTGTTATGTGCACCAAGGCATGTGCAGATGTGTACCAGCAGTAGAAAACTGAGTCTCATGGTATGTCTGGAATGATGCGGCTCTTCACAAGCCAAGCAGCTCCTCCCCCAGCTACACTGTAACATTCGGCAGTAGCATGTCCCACTGCCTCCCTGCTACCGGAGTCGCTCCCCACTCCAGGAAAAGCCTCCTGCAGTGAGGGAAAGACTGCAGGGGCAGGCAGAGGAGAAAGGGGCCTTTTCTCACTGTCCCCCCGTCGGAGCCTTTCACTGAGGCATAGAGAGACATCACGATGTGGGCGCAGCCTGCTTTTCACCACGGCATGTAGCCGCGCATTACACCACGCCCCCAGCAGTGCAGTCAGCCTATAAAATCGAGGCGTGTGCCTGGCATTTTGACACTCACAACTCCACGTACAGAAGAGCCGTTTCTCACTGAGTTTAACTGGATGGACACAGAGCCCAGCAGCCCAGTGGGAAAAGGGAAGGTGTAGGGCACCAGCACACAATCTCACAGTGCGCCTGAGGGCTGTCGCTGACCCAGCCCAGAATGTTCTTCTGTTCTTAACTGACCTCAGTCCTCTTCAGGTGTTCCCAGTCCATTTGCCCTCAGGTCTAGCTGGGTTCTGTCAAAGTGGCCAGCAGTTTCTTCAGCTCCGGCATCAGGAAGCCTAGATTGGAGAAATAAGCGAATCAGGAGAGACAAACACTGGCATTGACCACACAAGCTCTAAAGCGACTAGGAAAAACACTCTGCCCTTGTCTAGCATCGTCCACACAGTTGGTGGATGAAGCCTCATAAATCCTCTGCAAACGAAGTATTAGCCCCACTCGCAGATGAGGTTAAGTAGCAGAGGTGGGAAGGGAACCCAGGGGCCCTGGCTCCCTCCCTGTTTGCAGCCATTAGAACATACTGCCGCCAGCAACAAACATGACAGCTATTGAATGTGCTAAACAGAAGTGGCACAGTGCCAAATTCTGGTCCTGTGCACTGAGAACTGGAATGTGCACCGCTGCAGTCCAGCGCAGGATTGCGGATGTGCACCGCTGTACCTCCCAACGGAATTGGAGCCACGGTCTGCGTGCGGGCACCGTTCTGCTCGAAAAGTGAACATTCTACACCTGCGCAGGCTTCATAATCTTGCTGCCAGCTAGCGGAGCCAGAAACAATTCAGGGAGCTAGAGCAGAGCTAATCAGTGTGCATCACCTTTACGCTTCAAACTGAGCATGCTCCAGCTTTCCGATACTGGTCATAGATACAATAACACGTAACAGACAATACGCCTATTAAGCAGCGAGGTCAGAGTGTCCCACAGCCCGGAGAGCAACTGAAGGCACCAATCACCTCACCTGCATTAGTAAGGGCCTTCAGGAGCTACTGCAGGGTCAGGAACATAAGCTCTGGGCTCCCTCCTCAAACCTCATGGAGCCAGCGCTGGCATTCCAGCCCTGCAGCCCCCCCTTTGGTTGGTTGGCACTGCTGACTCCCCGCTGTAAGGGGAGAGGTACCAAGCCTCGTTTTATATGATGCCATCTTGTCCTTCGTGTTTTTGAAGACCCTGATAGTTTTTCACTAATGTCCATGGGGAGATGCTAGTTTGGTCTGTTTTAGGAAATCGATTATTTGGCTCGTATGGGCTTGGAGATGAATCTCCCCCTCTCTAAGGCTATGTCTACACTGCCGTTTTTCGTGGCAGAAGATATGCAAATCGCACTCTCATTTGCATATCTTCTGCCGATCCTTTTTGTGGAAGAGGTTTTGCCACTAAAAAGCCTAAATTTGTAGGAAAAAAACCCTTTTGCTCAAGATCCCTTATTCCTCAAAAAATGAGGTTGACAGGATCTTGTGCAAAAGGGTTTTTTTCTGACAAATTGCCCCATCTACATGGGGCTTTTTAACAGCAAAACCTCTCCAGGGAAAAAGGATCTGCAGGAGATATGCAAATTTGCGATTTACATATCTTCTGCCACAAAACTTTACATCTGAGTCTAAACAAAGGATCTAGTTATCTTGCCCATTACAAAGATAGCTTCCCCAATTATCACCTCTAATATCATTAGCCCACAAACATTCACCTCCCCCCCCCCATCGCCCTTCTGTTCTGAAATTTGATTTGTCCTTTTCATATGTGTTCATTTTTTAAAATTGTATCCTTTGATATATGTGGTTGTGACTATTTTCTTCCACTATTTGATCTGAGGAAGTGGGTCTGGCCTACGAAAGCTCATCATCTAATAAACCATCCTGTTAGTCTTTAAAGTGCTACATAGTCCTGTATTTTCCTAACAGACCCTGTTTGTTCAAACTTTCGCCTCATCTGTCCTGGACATTTTTAGCCCTGGCTTGGTTTTAAGTCAGACGCTGCCATCCTGTGGTCACAGAAGGTCTAACCAGGCTTTGGCTTCCAGGTCAGCACTTTCAACTGGTAAACGCATTGCTTGCTCTGAAACATTCTTAAATACACAGAGCTGTGCTTAGGGTTTATGGGGCCCCATGCAGAACCATTAAACTGGTGCCCCAATGCCCAACAGCAGCCAGGGTAGGACAACAATTTTTAGAGGTGTGATTGTACAATCTTCACTAATGAAAATTTAGATGAACACAGTACATTCAGAAACTGACAGCACACACCTGGGGCTGGAAAATGCCTATACAATGACTTCATGACCACTTGACTGGCTCTTTCCCCGGTTCAGTGTTCTGCTAACAGCACTGGCAGGCTTTGCCACTTGTAAGTGAACTAGATCCTTTCTGGAGGAAGCAGAGCCACAGAACAGGGATAGGAAGAGCCAGGAGCAGTGTTTCCTGTAAGCTGGGCACTTGTGTGGCTGCTCAGGAGAGATTCCAATGCTGCCCAGCTGATTAGCAGAGTGCCCAGAGCTGGGTTTTTGTTTCTAATGGTGGTGCACATTTGCACAGGCCTCAGTGCACATGGAAAAATGTATTGCGAACACGGAGGGAAAGAATTTACATATGGGTGGAAAAGATTAGAGGGAATGTTGGCCAAGTGGGTGGACATTAAGGCCCAGTGGTGCCCCAAGTGCTTAGGTGCCCTAAGTAACTGTGTATTCTGCAAATGGGTAAGGATGGCCCTATAAATACATTTAGTCTTTGTGAGTTTGGACTGTGTCTGAGCAAGGACTGTGTTTTCTGCTTATCTCCTATGTCAAAGAGAGTAGAGTGGTGGATCTTACCTGTAGATTAGGGTAGTAGTGGAGGATTTTGAAGAGATGAGATGAGGCTCAGATGTTGCAAATTCATACAAAGTTAGATTCAGAGTGGGGCCCTCTTTCATTCCCAGCTGAGCTGGGTTTTCCTGGAGGTGGTGCTGCAGGGAAATAGAGGTTGAGGACAGGTGAGAACAGACGAAAGGGACTTGCATTGAGATGTTCTCTACACTGCAACTTGGATCAGGAACGTATTTTCAGGAGCTGACCTTGGAATACACTGCCCTTCTATACTGAGATCTCTAGCAAAGGATTGCAACTGATTTTATATTGTAGAATATATAATTATCCCTGTTACAGATGGGGAAACTGAGGCACAGATGGGGGGGGAGGGGAAACGACTTGCCCAGGGTTACACAGACTCAGTGACAAAGTTCAGAACAGAAGTCAAATCTTCTGACTCCCAGCCCCTTGTTCTCACCACTGGACATTCCTACCTCCCCCAGTTTGTCAAACAGCTTCAGATCTTGTAAGGTGGTTCTGCTGGCTGACATTAAAAACCTTTTGATCTGTGACAGCTTCTGTGCCACATTTAAAAATCCTTGTCCCTCTCCATGCTGTGTGGCACTGCAGATCACTGCTTGAAGACAGTGTCTTAATACAATCCGCATTGCAGCAGAAATTGTGTCTGACTTCTTCACTATGTTGCACCCAGGCAGAGAAACACTCCAACACAATATCTTTATTGAACTGCCTTGAGCTCAGATACCTTGAGTTCACTTCTTGCAGCTTTGCAAGTTCCCATATCAGCTTTAAAGTGATCGGGTCTCTTGCCTGAACAAACATACTGTACCGCACAGTATGTACAGTATTGAGGAAGGTGGCAGGAAAGAAAAGATGGCCCAGTGTCTAGAGAACAGGCCTAGGACTGAATAGCCCTGTTAGGCTACGTCTACACTGCTCACTTATTTCAGAATAAGCTATTCTGGAATAGTTATTGTGAAATAGCTTATTTCGAAATAGAACGTCCACACTACAGGGAAGCCTTAAAATGAGTCCAAGGCAGGCTCCCCTAATGCAGACAGGCTATCTCGATTTAAGCCCCAGGAGGCATAACTTAGAATGGCCTTGGCGAGGGGCTATTTCGAAATAGCAGAAGAGGAGCGTCTACACAGGCCTTATTTTGAAATAGCTATTGCAGAACAGGCATCATTCTTCATAGAATGAGGTTTACAGACGTTGGAATAAGCTGTCCGTTATTTCAAAATTATTTTGAAATAATGGAATTGCTGTGTAGACACTCGCATAGTTATTTTGGAATAACGTTATTCCGAAATAACTGTGCTGTGTAGACACACTCTAACAGACTTAGTCAATGACCTTGGCCAAGTCACGTAGTCTCTCTATTCTTCCATTCCTCATGTATTAAAAGTGGGGAGTAGCATTGCTCTGCCTGACAGGGGTGCTGTGAGGTGCCCAGATACTATGATAAAGGGGCCATATAATTGCTGAAGACGGTTCCTAGAAATCTAGCTAAAGAAGTGTGTGTCTGAACAAGAGTGGAGCTCAGAGGGCCAGATACATCACTCCTTGCAGTAGAGAAGAAATTGGGCTCGCCTGGACCTATTTATAGTCTGTCTGAGGCCAAACCACTCGCTTCCATCTCAGAACCCCTCAAACTACCTTGCAATGATATTCAGTGAAGGTAATGCTGGAAGGTGGGAATTGTACTATGAATTTGGCCACGTTTTGAACTGAAGGCCTCAGAGAAGGATCAGATGGAGTCAATGTGCCTCCTCTTCTCCTGTTTGGAACATTAATTGTGGAAATGAAGGCGTCATTTCAACAAGACGGTCAATGAAGGCAAAGAAACTTTGCAGACACACCTCCTCTCATCCATAGGCCTTGATACACTAAGCATCATAGTACAGTTCTATTAGGCAGTAGGTATCCTTATCTTACAGATGGCTAGAGAAGTTAAATGCCTATGGTCACAGAGGGTCAGTAGCAGATCTGGGAATAGAATCCCAAAGCCTGAATACAATGGAACAGGGAGGCCAGCTGTGTTGTCAGGACCACTCAATAAGCAGTTACATAATCCAGCAGAGGTGCTAGGTCATTCCCAGTTCCACTTCAGGGGCACAGCCTGGAGATATAGATAGCTAGGTCTGGACAGCAGAATCTTAGTTACCAAGGATGAAAGAGGCAGTGAGGACCTAGCAGGATTTTCACATCCCCGTTGGGTTTACGGCATTAGGAACTGCAAAGATATGATGTAAAAATCTCTGCTTTGGAAGCAAAGCAAACTGTCTGTGGGGTTAGCATGAGGCAATAAAGGGAAGGCCCAAATTGACTTCTGTACAGTCCTTTTTCCACAGGGGGGAGTGCTTATCCCTGCTTGTAAAGTAAAAGTGAATGTACCTCCCCACTAGGTTAGCCCGCAGCTCTGTTATATAACCAACCTTAGGAATGGGAAGCTTCCGTCGCTGCTTGCACATGTTGATGAGTTTGTTCCACGGAGACAGCCCTGCCTTGGGAGATCCTCCGTTTAGAGCCTCTGTTTACAAAACCCCCCAAAGACAGCAGTGAATCCTCTGAACGGTCTCATCGGACCTCCTTACACTATCCAATGGGGCAGGATAATACATGTCCTATTATGGTAGTATGGTATTTGATCCAGGGCCAACCCCTTTGCTGGCATGTCTTCAGTGAAGTGAATGGTGTTAGGCCCTGGGAGAATATGAACACGGATAACAATGTAATGCCGACAGGCAGAACTGAACCTAGGACCTATGGAGCTTTGTGCATGAGCCACTACCATGTGAGCTAAAAGCCAGCTGCCTCTCAGCCAGGAGCGGTGCAAGGCCGGTTGCAGCAGCTAGCACCCTAGGTGGGGTGGCACAATCAGTGCCCTTGCCTGCATGGCCGTCAATGGCCATGACATCATCACGGGCCGCCCCTGCTCTCAGCTAAGGCTTTAGAGCAAGCTCATTCTTTTTCTCTTAAGGGGTATGTCTACACTATGGGACAAGGTCGAATTAAGATACGCAACTGCAGCTACATTAATTGTGCAGCTGAAGTTGAAGTAGCTTAACTCGGCTTTTGGCGCTGTCCACACTGAAGAGTCGAAGGGAGAGCACTCTTCCTCTGACTTCCCTTGCTCCTCGTGGAAGTAGGACAACTGGCGTCGACCGGAGAGGTCCTCTCACGTCAAATTAATGGTCTTCACTGGACCCGCTAATTCAAACCCTGGAAGATCGACAGCGGCAGCTTCGATCTTCTCTGTAGTGTAGACACACCCTAAGAGGACTCAGTGCCACTACATGGGATAGTGAACCACAACCAGGAGGTGTGTGGGTTACAACAGCAAATCAAATTAATGGGTTACAAAGGGTGGTCACATACTGTAGCAGGCCCATACACAGGGGGTGTGAAAGCACCCTTCCCTATGATCCCCCAAGTAAGCATGCTGCGGCCGGCCAGGGGAAGGTAAGAACGGCGCACCGCCTGAGCCTCCCTCCCCCATGCTCTGCCCGACCGGGGGAAGGCTGGGGCTGATTTCTCCACTTACTTGGGGATCATGGGGGGTGCATTCACACCCTTGTGATACACATTTACAAAAAAAGCACCCACACACACACAGAGATTCCTGCGTACAGGCCTGTGTAGTGATAAGAATCACTAATGGACTCAGATAAAGGGGCCTTTCTCAGCTGGACCATGCATGGCTATGGAAAGGGCTCCTACCTTGCTTCTGACTCATTCACGGTGGCCCCTCCTCCCCAGAGCTAGATCTGCTCCCCATGTCCATCGGACCAAGCTCAGAGACTTTCCCAGTCCAGCACTGAGTAACAGAGTTCTCAGGATTCAGGGATCAGCATGGATGGGAAGGAGTAGACAGAGGTATTTGGAAATCTACCTACCAGAATACCTGGCAATGCTCTAGAGATGCTTCTGACTCATTCACGGTGGCCCCTCCTCCCCAGAGCTAGATCTGCTCCCCATGTCCATCGGACCAAGCTCAGAGACTTTCCCAGTCCAGCACTGAGTAACAGAGTTCTCAGGATTCAGGGATCAGCATGGATGGGAAGGAGTAGACAGAGGTATTTGGAAATCTACCTACCAGAATACCTGGCAATGCTCTAGAGA